CTTCGGAAAGCGGAAAGTCAACATCGTCCTCCTCTTCCACCCTGGCTTTTTTCAATCTGCTCTCGTACGGACTCAACAACGACAGAGTACGATGCTGCCGCTGTTATATAGATACTGGCAAAAGTCACTAATGTCTTTGAAAAAGACCCCACAAAGACCTTAGGAAGACTTCGGGAAGATTTCACGAGACTTTGGGAAGACCCCGGGAAGTCTTCGAAAAGCATTCTGCAGGTGCGTTGGGCAGAGGTTTGGGCAGAGGAGTTCACCTCTTGAGGCGATATTGCTAGCTTTTTTACCCAAACCTAGATATAGTTTGGAGAATCTAAGGTGGACTTTTTCAGTAGGTAACTTGTCCCAATTGTTAAAATCATTTTTTACATATGCACCCCATACTTCAGAGTTGTAAAGAAGGATGGGGCTTATAATTCGATCGAAAATTTTAATAGCAGATTTTGGGTTAAGTCGGTTATATTGAGTCGCCTTGTCATACTGTATAATGCGTGGAGGGCTTTTTCACTCAACTGTTTAATAAGAGCTGGGGTGAAATTACCATTGTTGTTCATCTTAATGTCTAAATAACAGTATTCTTTTCCAACAGTATATATATTTCTTTCCAAGATTAAAAATTGGTTTCGCTTTTATAGAATTTCTTTTCTCAAATATCATAACTTGTGTTTTCTTTAAAGCCATTTGTTGCTCCAGCTATGGAGGTCATCCAGACATTTCTGGAGACCGGACTTTGATCTAGATAGTATGATTAGATAATCAGCATATAAAAGACAGCTCAGTTTTGTTCCATTTGGACGTATAAACGAATCAGAGCTTGTGTTGTCAAACAAAGTAGCTAACTCGTTTATATAAATGTTCAAAAGAAGAGGACTCAGTATACATCCATGTAATAATAATAGTAATAATAATAGTTTTATTGATCCATCTTTAGTGTAAAAATACAATGGATTTACAGTAAAAATCTAAGTAGTAGTCTAGTAGTTATATGTACAGATACAAATTGTAGGAATAGTTATAAAAATATTGTCTATAATAATGAGTTTGTTCTGGGAATGAACGATAGTTCATGCCTTTTAGTGTATGAGAAAATTCCGGGAAGAGTTTTTGGTGTTCTTAGGTCATACTTGTTCGTCATCATGTCTGGTATGTACTTCCTGCATGGGTGTGTTTCGTCATTAATGATTTTCTCGTACTCGCGAATGGAAAGTTTATCCCGACGCTGTTCTAGAGATTGAAGAGAATCAGATCGTACACGAGAATCAGATCGTACACCTTTGGAGTAGTTGAAAAAATCAGTTCTTGTTTTGCTTTGTTTAACAGCGCATTTGAATTTGAGTAAAAACTTTTAATAAGATTATAAAATTGACCATCAATTTTGTTTTCTAGTAATTTAAAGAATAAACCTTCGCGCCAAACCGACTCAAAAGCTTTTTTGAAATCTACGAAACATGTATAGATTTTGTCATTTTTGTTCTGTTTAATGTGTTTGTCAATTAATGTTTTCAAAGCAAAAATATGGTCAGCAGTTCTATGAACTGATTGAAACCCAATTTGCGATGGATGTATTAAGTTTTGTTCAAGACTAAATTTACTTAATCGTTCATTTAGAACAATACAGAGGAACTTGCTCAGACAGCTTGTCACGCAAATCCCTCTGTAGTTATTGGGGTTACTTTTTTCACTAGACTTTGAGCAGTATTTTCGCACTGGATTTAATTAGCATTTCAGTTCTTATCTTATCGATATCAGAATAAGCGGATTTGTTGTTTTTTAATTTCCTTGCAGCATTAATGATTTCGTTTTCTGAGATTGCTTCATCAAGAAATTTGTTTGCAATCTCCTCTTCTAGTTTTCCTAATTGATTTAGTGTGTGTTGTTGTTCAGTGCCTAGCATCGTATGTTTCGCATGCAGAGATTCAAAATGAGTGAGCCAGCTGTTGGTACTGACATCAGACTCACACGTGGAAAGGTCTTCAACCTCATCACTCATATTCTTTAGTAATTACCAGAAAGATTTTGGTTTATTTTCAGAAATTGTTTCTAGTTCTTCTAATTTCTTTTCATGAAAGATTTCTTTCTTACGATTTGGCGTGTTTTGGTAAATCTTAAGGCCAATATGGTATTCGTTTCTTATTTCAACATTGAGCGGGTTGCGGTGTTTTTGATTTGCCAGTTTTCTAACTGAGTGTCTTGTTAGTCGACATTCTTTGTCAAACCATTTCTTGTTACAAACATTGTTAATTTTATTTCTAAATTTTGTCTTTTTAATTTTTAAGGATTTCCTTGCAGCATGTAGAATTATCTCTTCCATTTCAGAAGCTAATGTGTTTACTCCATCTTTTGAAGTAGGAATATGGTGGTTGATTAGTCTCTCAAGATTTTGTTGAGATTGAGGTGATTTTAGAAATGCAGTAAACGAATTCATTGCGTCATTGTCCCAAACGAATTGGAGTGGGAGTTTATATACTTTATAGATGATAGAGTTGTGTGGTTGGTAGAATTTTGAGGTAATGTTTTGTTGATCCATGTCACTATTTGACTATGGTCAGATAAGTATGTTGGTTGTTTAACAACAAAGTTTTCGATTGTTTGGGTTAGTTCTTGGTCACAAATTGTGTAGTCAACCACACTAGTTCCATTTTTATTATGAAACGTGGGTTTTCCAAATGAATCACCAAGAGTCCTACCATTTAAAATTCTCAGATTACAGTTTTTGCAAATCTCAACTAAACTTTTACTGTGATTATTAACACAACTATCAAAATTGTCTCAAGCTTTTGGTTCAAAGGAGGTTTCAGTAATGTCATTAATGAAAGTGTTTCCTTCCTTTGAAACAAAATCTTCGAGTTTGCTGGTACGAGCACTAAAGTCCCCTAGTAGCATAACGTTTCCTTTTTTGGAAAAATATACCACATCATTTTCTAGGTTATGAAATATATCCTCATCAAAGTAGGATGATCTTTCTGGAGGAATGTAGACTCCACAAATAAATAAATCTTTTGTGGAGTTTAGAATTGTATTGTCTATTCGACACCATAGGGAATTTTTTGTTTGTTTTTCAACAGAGATAACATTTTCAAATTCCTTTTTGAATAAAAGTGAAATTCCACCAGACAAGCGACAAGCCGAGTTTGATTTCCGGGTTGCCGTGATAGTGGATAATGTCATGAAACCAGGAATGCTGTTAATCTCATTAGACCATATTGCAGTCAGAAATATTAAATCAAGGTCTTTAACATTTTCTATAAACTCAATGTTACTTAGTTTGTCACCAAGCGTTTTATGTTTTAAACCATGTATATTCCAGGCACTAATAGAGAGCCTAGAATGCATTAATACTCATTTGAAAATATTGACTGATCTAGGATAAATTGATTTTTAGGGTAATAATAAAGAGGAAAGCTTTAGGTATGCGCACACATATGTGCTTATATTACCCTGCATGTGAGTACATTATACTAAATAATATTAATACAAAGTTAAAATATAATTGAGTTAGTCAGTTTTGGATACTCACAGACCATTTCACGTTATTGAAGGAACCTTTGAAGGACGGTTACCAGCTCGGTCAACTTCTCTGGAATGTTATAATTGGCTAAATTATTCCATTGGTTTGCACTGCCATTTGTTCTGACTGCTGGGTGGGATGAAGGATGTTGGAAGTGTGGAAGTGTTGGGGTGATAGGATATGGTTGGTGAAAGGGGGGGGGGGGGG